CGGCACTTGGAATGACAAAAAGTGCAACCAGAATCGCCTCATCGTCTGTCAGTTTTAGTGCTTCCCCCTGCTGCTGTCTGGCAGGCTCCCTGGAATACGCTTTCCTAGCCTTGTCTCTTAATTTGTAGCTAGTGAACTCAGATAATGCAGCAGGAAAAATACAAGTCATTCTTCCCCAGCCTGATTTGTCTTTTAAACAAGTGCCAGCCATAAAGAGGAAATTGCTTCTCACGAGAGCGGTGGCCATTTTGTCTGTTCTGTTACTCGTTGCCCACTGAGTTTCTTGATGGCCCTGCCTATGGGTTCCCACTGCTCTGTTAACCTGCTGACTTACTACAACAAGAGCAAAAAGCAGACTTCTTGGGCACATACCTAAAGTGACTTGTGGCCACAAGGTCTTCCAGCACCCCTTTCTCCGTGAGCCTCTAAGTTTTGCGTATTTTGATCCTTTCTATAAGTTTCCCTTACCGAACCTACCCGTACGGACACTCCTGCTACCACTGCTGTTGCTCAGCCTGTGTTTCTCTGGCCATCTTCACCCATAAGAGATCCCCTGAAAGAAGAAATAAGTAGTGCTGCTAGGGTGACGCAGAGCTACGAGCACAAGGGGGACTCACCTACCTTACATTTCCCATGGGAAAGCTTTAGTCAGCAGGTCTTTAACCTTCATATACCTGAAAAGTGATGGCCAGAAGCCACCTGTCCTGAGCCCCTCCAGCAACTCCTGATCTCTTTCCTGCCTCAAAGCGGTAGCAGCACAAGAAGCCCGAGGTCCCATGCCACGTGGGATGCGTGTGGAAGAAAACACGCAAGAGCTGAGATGTTACAGTGCCCGTGTGGTTTGGGGAGATCAGTAAAGCCATGGCAAGGTCAATTTTTTTGAGCTAGAGAGATTCAGATACAGCTAATTTGTGGGCACCATAGAGCTGCTTGGCAAAACCCGATGGGGATTTCCATGGGGCTAAGCTTAGTGGATGCCTACATTTCTGAAGGAGCCTATATTCTGCTCTCATTGCAGAAGCTGCTCAGAGCCTGTGCCCTCAAACTAAAGGATTGTTTAAGACAAAGCTTGCTGAACAACTTTGTTACGGGGGTCCAGTCACCCCCTGAAGTTAGATTCCCAAGGTTAGATGCACAGTTGTGCAGTGCAAGAGGCACATCCAGAGACGTCTATGATTTTTTTTCCTTCCTCTGGGGCAGTTGAAGTCAACCTAGCTTAGGCAATGAAGGCTCCGCATAAGCTCTGTGACATGGTACAAAGGCTGGTTGCACATCCAGGCATGCTGCCATATGCACCAAGCCAAATGCCTGGCTATCAGTAACACTCACTCACACGAGCTTTGTCAGTTCCAGCCTGGTCATGCAGAGCTGAGCAGGGAAACATCCAGCTCTAGAGCCAGACCAGCTGCTCTCACCCTCTGGGAGACAGAACAGTCAAACTATGAAGGTACTTGGGGAGGGAAGGTATGCTCACAGCTGGTACGAATGTGGGGGGCCAGCTAAGAGGCTGCTTGGAGCCCCATAGCTGTGCGCATCGCTTAATTCCAGAGCGGCAACTGGCCGTGCACGACATTCCTGAGGTGGCTTAAATTCAATTACTCAAATATTTTGAGTATGTTCTCACCACCTGCTCTATGACAAGGCATGGATCTTCCTGGCCTCCATTCAGCCCTCTGCTTGATGTCATGGCCTGTGAATCATTCTTGCTATTATTGTCTGCAAACTAAGCAATTTATCTTACAGGTATTTACTTAAGATGATTGATGCGACAGGACTAACATCGAACCAAGACACTTTTCTGCTTGAAGAATTTGGTGCCTACAGGTGGTCTAGCTCCACAGATTACTTAATTATTCACTCCAGCAATATTAAAATCCTCCATCACAATAATGCATACTAAATAGGACCACATTTCCCTGTTCCAGGAGCCGTAAAGTTATCCCAACATATGCAAAGGGAAGAGTTTTGTGAGCAAAGTCCTCAGTTTATCCAATGCATCTGTTCAGCACGTAAGGAGATCTACAAGCTGTTAACTAACGCCCTATTTCTGGACAACTTAGCCAGAATATAAACTACTGAATCCTGTATCATGTAAGGTCTAGGTAGACCATTACGTTCTTACGTTAACCCAGTTGGAACAGTATCTAGAGGGGAAATGAGGACTCGGGAGTCCATAGACGCTGTTTCACTTTCAAACGCTATTCTTCCTCTTACTCACAAGTGTTTTACAGCTCACCAGTATCTGCCTGCACCCATCAGCTCACCCACCCAGTCTTCAGCCTTGCATGACTCCTGTTGTGAAACTAACTCTGCCACAAGCACGAGGAAACAGCGACACAGGCATCACCTCCTACAGTAGTTTTCCACTCATCGTATTCCAATAAGGTTTAGGAAGTTTACCATGGTGCTCCGCCGAGAAAGAAACTCCCCCCCCCCCCCCCAAACATTTAAAGCCATGGTAAGTTTTTATTTTATCCTGCTTATCTCCAGGTGGCTGCCTTCAGTGTCAGTCTAATGAATATGTGCCACAGCAGAAATGTTCCCGTGCCCACCCCGTGGTTGGGCATTTTCCCCTGCGGACTCCCAGGGAAGAGGGGAAAGGACTTAATGTGTTACTCCACAGCTACAGGTACTAGCCCTGTTCGGACGCTCTAGCTACTTGTGGTACTAGATGAGGACCTAAAACCTCAAATAAAGCAAGTATTTCTCACCCTGCCTGAAGTTGCTCCCTCCAGCCACCCTGCTGACAGCAGGCAGGTCTGGAAACAGCAGCCTTGGCCTGAAAAGCAGATCGGTTTGGCATTTGGGCACCTAATTTACTTCCTAAATCTGAACGAGAAGTCAGCACAGCATCATCTGATTTGTAAAAGACAGGCAGAATCCCCAAAGCAGGCAACTGTTTACTTCAAAGTTATTTTCCAAAACATTTATGAACTTATTTTAAAAGCCTAATCCACCCTATCCTAACCTTAAATACTAGCTGTGCCTTATAAGACTGCCACCGTTTGCCAGGTATTTACCAGTACTCGTGCGTGTACCGGGCCACCCGGCTTGCTGACAAGCCAAACTGCGTGATGTTCGATTTTCAGCCAATGGAGAGCACCACTTCCAAAGAGGATAGTATGACACCACCACCAGGATTAAGGTTAAAAGCTTATTAATCTTAAAAGCTAGTGAAAAACAGGATAAGCAGATTTCTTGAAAAGAAACTTAAAAAGGAACTTGATTTTGGTGAGATCAATGAAATAGTGTCAAATACCAAAAGAGATGGAAGTCGCATGTCAGTTTGGGGGGGAAAGCGTTACCGATTCCGCTTTGTACAATGGAAAACATTTTTTCCCCAAACAAACGTTCAGAAAATTGTTTAATTCTATAAAAATTACCCATCACAAAAATTATTCTTAAGTCATTATTTTCTGTAAAAATACCCCAGTTCATATTTTGTGTCTTGTAAGAGTTTAAAAAAAACTATTGCCAGTTGGGTGACTTTGAGATCTAAAGGGACATGGCTCGAAGTCTGAACTTTGGTTTCAGTAGGTGCAAACATACACCCCTTTGGATAGCTCCGTTGCCAGGCAGGTAGCTGCACAGACTTCAGTGTCCCCAACAAAGGGTTTTTAGCCCAGGCTGCAGTTTAGCCTTCGCATCTTTCCTTGTCGTCAGCCAAGTGCGAGATGCAGTACCGCGTACAGATAAGAGGGCCATTTCTCCGTGACTGTGTAGTGCCACCTCCACAACAGCATGCAGCGGAGCCAGAGCTGGCTTAGCAAAGCCTCTGAAAGGGTTTCTATGTGCTTTTTACTCCATATAACAGATACTGCAGCAGCCAGACTGTAGCTGTGATCTTTCAAATATTTAAATAAAGCTAAGCTTGCAAGTAGCAAGCGGGTTGCTGAATTTACATAATTGTAAGAGAGTTGGGTGTATGAACCCCTTGGATCTGCAATAACCTGAGGGGCATCAGCCCTCACGCTCTGAAGGCTACATGTACTACTCATTAAACAACTCAGATTCTGACTGGTGGTTATTATTATCAGATTATTCGCTTCTGAGTAAGATGATTTACAAGGAAACCCCAAGTGGTTTCCTGGCAAAAAAAAAAAGGGCCATCATTTTTCACTACAAGTGACTGTCTCCTAAAGCAGCTTGTGCATGTGTGAACAGCCAGCTATTGTTTTGCTGATCCTGAGCAAACTGCGGTCGAGGCAGAACTGCTTCATCCTTTCTTTGGAAGGATTGTGCCACTTTAAGAACATCAAGTGGGAGGTGATCCAGGCACCACTGTACAAACAAGTACCTGTGCACGCTGCCGCGCTCACCTGAGCCTCGCACAGCTGAGGGGACGCTGCCCTCACCCTCCCTGGTTTGTCTGGCAGGTTGAACGCCTTCTCCAACACGCACTCCCACTGCCTGACAGCAGAAGATGGACGCCCGGTCAAAGCGACTCGATTTTATCTGCAAGACTTACAAGACACCTTGAGGACGCTGAGAAGGTAAGAGTGGACAGGAAAGAGCTGAATGACTGCAGGACCACTCAAGCTTTAGAGAAAGCCAGAACTTATTTCAGGTAGTCAAGTTGAGAAAGAAGCAAACATTCAACTCCAATTCAACCACTTGCTGGCCTTTCTGCAAAAATAAGGGGATAGCTAAATTATTTCTAATTTGGTTACGAGGTTGTCAGCAGGGAAGGGATGAAGAAGAAAAGATAAATTACATGAATAGCAAGTCTATTTTAAGTTCACTAATATCAAAATAGTTTGCTGAATGGTTATAGAGTTATGTCTGCAAGTACACTGCGTAAGGCAATCCTTTATTTTTCTTTTCAGGTTAGCAGACCGGCAGCTCGTATAAGTTTATTCAAAGGTGTTTAAAGTCTAAATATTTCAGAACAGGAAAAGTCTGTTTGACTTACAGGTGTATACAACCTCTCTCTGCAATACATTCACGAGTCAGAAAACTAAGAGACATATGCCAGGAACTCTGAGATAACACATAAAGCCACTTATTAGATAAAACACAAAAATCAGAATTTACATGTCCAGAAAAAGTGGTTTATGTATACTTTAAACAACAGCAGAGAAACACTTCTGTTGCATTTTAACTTTCATCGTAGTCACCCGCTTACTTGGGAAGGGAGGTGAAACATACTGTAACTAAAGGCACGATCAGCAAAATCCCAGCAGTGTGCTATACTACTTTTGCATTATTAAATACGCTCAGTCTTCATCAGACCTTTCTAACATCTTCTCCCAATTTTTAGACATCTGATTTCTGCACCCAAACTTCATATTGTTTTTAAAGTTCTTTAAGCTAGATTTGCATCCTGTAGTGGCTTTACTCACAGAAAGTACACAGGTTTTACTTAAAAGTAATCAGACTAAACTACAGCATGCTTTCTAAAGGCTGAAATCCTTTTAAAAACAAATACTGAAATATTTATGATTAGCGCTTTACTCAGTTGTTACTTGTAGAGGAGACATTTATAATACAAGCAAATTCAGTGATATTTCTTTTAATATTTTATGATTCTGAGCATTTTCATAACACTCTCTTGGTTTGAAAGGTTTGGCTCTCTAGGGATCAAAGCAGTGTTACTAGATCTTTCTGAGGCTTTACATAGTTGAAATACAGCCTTTTCTCTAAGGTACTCAACTCATCAACTTGATTTCTGGTTTCTAAGGAGTTTTAAGCGACACTTAACTTGCAGTAGTAGTTAACTCTTGATCACCCTCATTTTGAGTCAATTACTGCGCAAGAAATCCAGTTCTTGGAACTTTACACATTCCTATCGTTTGCTGCCTCTGCTTATAACATCCAGTCACCGAAGTGGCATAGGAATTCACCTTTCTGCAGTTGCACGCTGTTACAAGGCACACCATGGACATCGCAGCAGTGATGACCTCTTCAGAAAACTAGTCTAGGCATGTGTATTCATCTTTAAATATTAATAGGAAGTTGGCAGTTTTGTTAGAACAAGTACACAGTAACACTTGTTTTCCCCACTTGAAGGCTAAAGATTTAAATCACTGATGACTGAGTGGAACAGGAAGCAGGACAAGTTCATTGCTGTTGCTGGTTTAGCCCTTTTGAGTCGTTCTTCCGTTAAAATAAGCACATGCCTGGGAGAAGAGGTGTTCACACCTCCGCAAAACGGGAAGTGTTTTTGCAGCTCCGGCTGCGCCACAGCAACTGAGAGTTGATCTGTGTATCTAACTAGGCAGCTCACACATCTAGATAATAAAACCCCTCCCCACATAAAGAGCTATAAGCCCTGTTTTTATAAGGTACCGGAAATTCAATATCACATACCTGGTTTTATCCGATATATTTAATTAGCATATTTTAGTGGAATTGCTGACCTGCTAAAATATCAAAAATGATTGTGTAAAGAGATAACTAATATTCAGTCTTGAACACTTCAGATATATATTTTTGTTTAGTACTATTGATTGTGTTTTTTCATCCAGTCTGACTGTATTAATCTCCACCAGGAGATTAATCTCCACCAGGCAAACTAGTGATGGAGCACTGTCACTTGTTTACACAAAGGTAAGTCTGTGACCAAGGTATTCCCAAAAGTGCTAATACAACTACATTATGTAGAAGTTCTTTCGTGCCGTCTGCTCTAGCTTCAGTCTGTTACAGTAATCATGAAAATCCAAGGTTATACTGAATAGGACCCTGCCTTTGGGCACGGAGAAGGAAAAGGGAAGGATTGATTCTCGCTTAAATACTACCGAATAGTACAATGAATGGCCTAGAGCTCCTGTAGAAAACTTGTCCTGGCTGATTGGTCTTTCTTCAAGCCACAATAATTTTCTGTGATGTAGGAATAGTGCTTCTCTTCCCTCCTCCTCCTCCCCCCAACGTGGAATGTGGAAGAGGCTAAACAAATTGTGATTACTTGACAAGATACATGACAAACACCAGTGCCCTGCTACCTGCTTCAGGGTCAGCAGCAAAACCAAGCCTCCCAATAGGTGTTTCCAGCCAGGTCTTTGCAAATGATACTGCCGAGATCCATATGCCTACATTTGTCAGTATTATCTTGCCTACAAGAACGTCTGGGGTAGAACCTGATGCTGTTGCCAAGAGTTTCAGGTAACACTAGAAACAAAAAATCTTAGAGCAGGCCACCCAGCACAAAATTAAACACCGAATTCACCTGTTTGGACATTAGTCAAGGGTCTAATTTCCTTGATGTGCTTCCATAAATACTCGGACACACAAGCCTATAAGCAAGTGTCAGCCTGAGGCACCTTTACGCTTGCTTTACAAGTGTTTAGCAGCAAGGTTTTTACTCGGTAAGAAGAGCACTGAGTAGTTCACCAGTGGGGAATTTGTTCTGCTGCAGGCGCTGAGGTTCTCACCTGCCTGAAGTCATCCAACTCCAGAAATTGTTTAAGAGTCACGGGATTTACACAGAATCAGTTCTTTCCAAAAGCATGTAAATATGGGTGTAAACCTGAAATGCTGTGTTGGGGGAGACGAAGGAATTGCAGCTTTTCTGTTGGAACTGAAGATGAGGAAAGGCAAACAGTCTTTGCCCACATTTCTTGTTTGCTTCCAACTGAGTGAGTCTTTGCTCTCAGGTACTTTTTGATTGACATTAAGTGCTGTAGTTATTAATCAGACTATCCCAATAGAAACAAGAGAAAATATAACTCAACTCACTGATATGAAACAGGCCTTGCAGACTTTGATCCATTCTGCCTTTTGGTGGCTGCACTTACAAATTTACTAGGCTCCCAAGGAATTTTTTAGAACTTGTTTTTCTGTTCCCAGATGTTAGCCAGCAGTACTAGATTTGTGACCTTTCCAAGTAGAGAGAAAAAATTATTACATGATAGTCCATTCTTCTGAAGTTTGGAAGAGGGCAAATTATATAAATAGGTGCCAATTCAGATACCAGCCCGTCTTTCTGCCCCATGCAAAACATCTTCAGAGGAACCACAACTGAGAGCAAGTAACAGACTGGGAGGCCACCGCCTCCCACAAGCATCTCGCTCGGGGACCTTCTCATGCTACGGTGACCCCTGTAAGCTTCAGAAGGCTGTCCTAAAGCTTTACACTACTGCTGTAGACTGCAAATCAGCCTTTTTTGCATAACAGTATTGCTACCTTCAGCATTTGGCCTCATCATAGGTTGTGGAAGTATAGCTTTACCCCCAGTTGCGATAGGGGGATAAATACATCAGGGTTTTCATAAGGTTTCCCCTACTGTTAGTTCTCTAAAATCAAAAGATGTTCATGACTAACTTGGAGGAAAAAAAATGCAAGATTAGCAGAGAAAAAAAACTGACTTTTTAACATAGGTTCATTACAGCTAGAATCCAAGATTAACATTCAATACAGCAATGCCTGCAGCAGGCAGGACAAGCACTCTTAAATAGTTTCAGCTGGTGGGGAAAGATTGGGATAGATTCCTTGCAGGGCAGAAGCCACAGGGCAGCTGTCTCAGCTGCACCCTGCCCACCCACTTCACTGGAAGAGAGCAGCCCATGCCAAAGGGTAAGTCACCCTGTCTGCCTACACATGTTTTTGCTTTTTCCTAAGAATCAAAAGTTAAGGCTTCAGATCAAGTGGCCAAACGATATTTTCTGGCTTTTCTATATTGCAGCAGGCTGTAAGCTGGCAGGCAAGTACCTCAGCTAAATATACTATTGCACACGTCTTTTGTTTCCTGCTTATATAGTCCTCTGCAACAGTTGTGTGCCATGATCTTAAAGATATTATAATTCATAAATGGATCTGTGCTAAGGTAAGGGGAGCAGTGAAGCAATCCACAATCTAAGACATACATTTTTACATGGCCTACTTTAGATTGCATTAAACATACACAGTTATGAAGCATACCAGCTTCATTTCCAGAATTATGTAACAAATTATTATAATTTCCATGCAGGGTATAAGGATAGAATTATGATTTTTCTAAGAAAGGATTCTGCCCACTGTGCTAAGATGACCCCTTCTTTAGTGCCCAAAAAGGCCTTCCATCAAGTATAGTTCAGAAAAAAATAATTTGTGTAGCTTCAGGCAAACCTTAAATGAAACACTGGAAGTGGAAGGTACAACCAGAAATCACACTTCTCTAGTGGGCCTCTTCTTTCCCCTCCCCAAATGCCTTCATTATTGTATATTTTTCTAAAGAAGTCATTTATTGCATGCCATTTATTGCCTTCAGCTCCAATCCTTGCAAAGGCCTTTACTCTTCTACCCAGTTGTTAAATTTAGGTGATAGACCTAGAGCACCCTTTACTGCAAAGTATTTTGTGGTTTAGAGACCAGATCTGATATGCTCACACATTCACTGATGAGGATTTTAGTTGAGATAAAGAACTTGCAAAGCTCCAGTGACAGCGTGTATTTATTCTGAAAGAAATACCACAGCTTTAGTATTTCCAGAGCTATGTTTTGGTTGACCACTATTTTGATTGATTCTTACCCTCCCATAATCAAACCTTAGAGGTCTAGAAAGTTGGCAGGAATACTGGCTGTTTTGGAAAGAGTATTTAACCACACACAGCCTGTGTGCATCAAACACTGCCAATACAAGAAACACCTCTTTAACTGAGCAGCAGTCCCAGATCTTACAGCTGTGCTGAATGAAAACACAGGCAAGCAACATTTAGAAGGGTCACTGAGTCATGGCCTCCAGCCTCTGTATCTGCTGATTGCACAGCACCACAGTTCAGCAGACTCACCTGTCAGTGCACCTATTTCTATTTGGGATGGATTCTGCTGGCATAAATGTACCTTATTTATGATGTCTCTTACTGAAAATTACGTAATATAGTAATACTGATGTATGACACGGCCCTCTTGTCGTATAAGCGTAGCTATGAAGAGTT